CTACTCCTACTAGAGGAAAAAGTAGGCCCTACTCTCCATCATGTTGACTTAGGAACCAAATTCCTCAAAAAGACTCCTAAAGCACAAAAAGTAAAATAAAAAATCAATTAATGGGATAATATCAAACTAAAAAGCTTCTTCACAGCAAAGGAAACAATAAAAAAACATGAAGAGAGAGCCTACAGAATGGGAGAAAATCTTTGCCACTGGCACCTCAGATAAAGCATTAGTCTCCAGTATATAAAAATTTATCAAAAAACTTAATACCAAAATAAATAATAATAACCCAATCAACAAAATGGAAAAGGAAATAAACAGGCACTTCACAGAAGAAGAAATATGATCAGTCAACAAATATATGAAAAAGTGCTCAACATCTCTAGCAATTAGAAAAATCCAAATTAAAACTACACTGAAATTTCACCCCACACCCATCAGAATGGCAGTTATTAAAAATACATGAAACAATAAATGTTAGTGAGGATGTGGGAGGAAAGGCACACTCATACATTGTTGGTGGGACTGCAAATTGGTGCAACCATTCTGGAAAGCAGTATGGAGATTCCTTAGAAAACTTGGAATGAAACCACCATTTGACCTGGTTTTTCCACTCCTTAGAATATACCCAAAGGACTTAACTATGATATACTGTAGTGATGTTGCCACATCAATGTTCACTACAGCTCAATTCATAGTAGCTAAACTATGGAACCTTCCCAGGTGCCCATCCACAGATGAATGAAAAAAGAAAATATGGTATATATACACAATGAAATATTACCCATCCATAAAGAAGAATGAAATTTTGGTATTTGCCAGTAAACTGATGGAAATGGAGACTCACATGCTAAGTGAAAAAGTCAATTGCGCCCCGCCCTCCCGAAAAAGGATCAAATGTTCTCTCTGATATACGACTTTAACATACAATAAAGGAAGGGGGAATAGAAGTTGATTAGATTAGATATAGGGGAAGGGAGGTGGAATGGGATTAGGAAAGACTGTAGAATAAATTAGACATAACTTTCCTATGTTCATATATGAATATATAATCAGAGTAACTCCATATTATGTACAACCACAACAATGAGAAGTTATACTCCAGTATAACATGTCTTAATACACTCTAATGTCATGTATTTCTAAAAGAAACAAATAAGAAATTGTTTTCACAAAGAAAACGAAATTAATTTATGGTTTGAAAATATATATTCATTTCTTAAATATTTGTGGATTCAAAAATATTAACATTTATTTATTTTTGTTTTCGAGTGGAGTTTTTGTATGTACTAAAACAAATTACCTAACCTTAAATGAGTTATTTTTGTTTGTAAAAATATTGGATAAAACAAATGAAGCAAAACAAATTAACAAAAGTATCAGAAGAATGAAATGTATAAAAACCTCAGTTCTTGGCCTGTAATTTCAACTCAGTGTGTAAGTCATTAATTGATTATTGCCACCTTCTGAAGACAATCTAATTTATCAATTATCAGTGTTCCAACTTAGAGAAATAAAATATTTTCTGATTATTTTCAAGTTATAATAGAACTTTACAAAAAAGCTCAAAAGAAAGGAGAACAATATAATGAACCATCATTTACCTATTGCCCAACAGTGTTCTGCAACTTTTCTTCATTCTTCAGCCAATGTATTTTTCAGTACTTCGTGCATCCTAAGTAAGACCTATAAGCTTTGACACTGGATTCAGATTCATTAAATACTTCTTGATCTTCAAAAGATTTTAGCCTCTCAACTTGGTGATATCGTTTAAATTTGTTGGACTGCCCTCAGGAAATGATTTCTCAATTTCAGTTATTTAAATTTCTTCTTTTAAAAATCAAAGTTAGAATATTAAACTGGATAAGAGCGCTCCAAATGTGTTTCTCTCATTAGTCTCCCTCTAGAGTATTTTTTCAGTGACCTAGGTAGATGTTTTAGAACTACTGTCCTGTATAACATATGGGTAAAACTTAAAGTCTTATGCTGAGTAAAAGAAATCACACAAAGGGCTACTACTGGATGATTCAATTGGTTTTTACTGAAAGTCTTAAAAAGTAAAACTATAGGGAGAGAATATATATCAGTGGTTGCCAGAAAGCAGGGATATAGAGAAGAGACAAAAGCTGATAATGATGAGACTGTTTGACGGAAATGCAATATATCTACATTGTGATACTGTTTACGTGACTGCATGAGCTTGTCAAAATACACCAAGCTGCACACTTAAGAATGGAGAATTTTATTGTGTACAAATAAATTATGCCTCAATACAGCCAATACATCCAACTCAAATAATTACCTATCAAGTGGTAGTCTGATGGACTAAATACAATGAGACTGCCATCTCACCCCAATGGAATAACATAATACTAATGCAGTTAAAAGTAGCATTTGATTTTGGAAAACTACTTCACTATTTTGGTTCAGACCAAACTTGCAATCTATTAAGATATTTTATGTGTTTAGGTTGTTTAAATAAAATTCAGTATTACATATTAAAAGTTTTAAGATTCTGTCTCTTATATTTAAATCTGCCACATGAACTTGGCAATATCTTTTGGCATCTGCATTTCATTGTAGGAAATATCAGGTATTCCATACAACTTTGTGTGATCCCTCCTTTGGTCAGCATGCTTTCATTCTAGGGAATTTGTGTTCGGTGTAAAAAAGTCATTGTGAATTTGTTTATTTTAGTTCTATACAAGATTATATGAATCATATGATCTATATAGGGTAACAGGATCTAAACTGATAAAATCTCTTTTTAAGAAAAGTGTCATATGTTCTGAGTTAATAATTTAAATTAATTTTTGAAACAAACATTTTAGATCTTTCTTTTAAGGCCACTAGTGTTAATTACTCTAACACTCATTTCCTTCAGTTCTCTAAACTTTTATCTTTTAAAGGGTGTTTCTGTATTTAAAGAAAAAACTACATAATACTAAACTTTCATACATAAATATATCTTAAAATGCCATATATTTTCCATACAGTTTAATACATTAAATATGTAATTTTCATCTTTTATAATTATATAATGTTACTCTTTGTCTAAACTTGCAATGTTCCTATCCTTCTGAATTATTGTAGAAACACATACAACACACATACACACACACACACACATACACACACACATACACACACACATGAAAGAAATGTTCTTTCAAAATAAATTCCTGTTCATTTTTAGATTTAAGATATGTAAACACATTCAACTATAAAACAAAATCCTCATCTCCCAAACAAATGAGAAGAGGAGAATTTTGCCCTGACAACATTCATTATTAAGATGAATGGAGAATATTGAGATGAGAGTTCTTTTTCACATAGAGTGTTTTTTGCTTTGTTTCTTTGTTTCTTTTTCTTTTTCTTTTAGTTTTTGTTTTGTTTTGCTGGGGAGCAAACCAATGGTCTCACATTTTATGCAAGTGCTTTATTGCTGAACTACAACTCCAACCTCCATGAACAGATTTATATAATAAAATATTCTAGATTTCCCAGTTATAAGATATGCAAAGATACTTTAAATTATATTATAGTCTCAGAAATGATATTCTATGGATTTGATATTCTTTAATAGTTTACTATTTTTACTTACCCAAGAATTTCAGTAATTACATATCTTGCAAGATTCTCAAATAGAAAAATTATAATGCATGAGAAGGAGAAGTCATATTTAAACCAACCTTATTTATTTTCTAGGTACTTGAGCTTTTCCTCCTGATCATGTGTCTATTCAGAAATAACTTCTCAGGGGAGAGATGTGCAGCTGATTCTTTCTCTAGTGTTTTCCATTGTTGGTAAAGGAGAGCAAATTCAAACCAGTACACAGAATAGAAGAAATTAACTTACAGAACTGTATATAATTTAGGGCATGCACATAGGGATTTGGCTGATCTTAAATGTACACATTCATCCATTTCATCTTTCATAATGTCTTCTTTATTGTACTGCATATGGAAATGTCAATGAAAACTATCAAACTAAAAATATTTTATGAAAGTCATAAAATGTTAGTTTGTATTACATTTCAATCAAGAATTATGGTTAATTCAACAGGCTGTTCGTTATTTCTCTAATTCAGTTCCTGTGGGATAGTCACTTGAAACCCTGTAGGCATCTGAAAGGTCATTTTCAATGTCACCAATAGACATTAGAGCTAGGAGGAAACTACCCCCCCAGTGGCAAGGTATTTTAAAATAACTAAATATTTTAAAACATTGTTTCAGGTTTTAAATCTGAAAAATAACACCTATCATTTTATCTGTATTGAATATCATAAAAAGAATCCAGAAATAAAAGTGTGAACTCTACTAAAAAACAAAAACAAAAAATGTCCTGGTAAATTTGAAATATGTGAGAAGAGGCTAAATGAAGAAATAAATAACTCCAGTGAAATATCACAAACTATACGGTTTTTAAGTTTGCTGAAAAATACACGCATTCATTTGCCATCAGTGTTTTTGCAAATGATATTTTCTAAATATATTAAACTTATTTACCACCCTATTCTTGCTTCCAGGGTGCTCTACAACATAGCTGAGAAGATAGGACAGATCCCCACTTTACTCAAAACATAAATCAAGGGGAACAAATCAAAAGTAATCAAGTTTACCAAAAGATGTTATGACTGCACAATTGGCAACTTGAGTGCTGAATTTAATATGGCAAAAATAAATTCACATTTTTAGATACCTTCTCCATAATAGTATAACTTTTTAGAACTAAAATCATAAAAGAGTAGGAGATGAAGAACTCTGGACTATAAAAAGATTATTTTAAAGCATACTGGTTAAGAGAAAGGAGGGAGGGAAGGAAAAAAGCAAGGAAGGAAGGGACCTTAAAATTAAAAGAACACACCAGCAGGTCATTTCTTGAAATACCTTGTAGATCACTTTATGACAACTTGAAAGGAATTTTAAAACTCATGAAATGCCAATTATACAGAATAAGGTAATTTTGCACACACTCTTTTTAAAAAGAGTGGTTCATCTTACCTCTACTACCAGTTGCTGAAGGGATGGTGATGCTACAGGATGCAGACTTGAGTTCCCCCTTATGGGACTGTGGAGGCTAATATAAGCCACAACATTTTTTTGCAGAACCTTTTTGAAATCCTGAAATTAAAAAAAAATCTATCTTTAACATAAATAAAAATAATTACTTTATTATTTAGCTGTTAAATGATAGAGGGTTTTTCATTAAAATCATTATGTTGCAGCAGTACATTTTTAAAAGCACTTAATAAAATAAGTCAAGGTTGGAAGAAGATTTTAAATGAGGGTGATAAGGAGTTAGGTACAAAATATGATTAAATATTTTAAAACATATTCTGATAAAAGTCAAGTTTTAAAAGAAAACGTTTTTAAAAACATAGCATTGCATGGGATTCAACTACAGAATACAGGATGGATATTTGCTTCAATGAGAGCACTTAATTTTATAGTCAGTGAGTTATACAAGGATGAACTAATTCCATGATTAATAAAATGAGTCCTTTCCTTTGGAGCTTTGAGCTACTCTTACACACAATATCTGTTATTCTTAAAAAAAATGGGGCATTATACAATTGTGACCCTGCAGATAAATTTTCTAAAAAAAATGCATTTCATGCACATTAATGACATAAAATGATTCACTTGTTAAGTTTTCCACATGTCTGCTTACCCCAACCCTACAAAATTTAAAACAACTGACTATATTAATAATGTACTACTAAGGGGAGCTTGTGTTATTTTTCTGCTTTACTTACACAAATATTTAATGAGTAATTCTTATGTAGAAGTTCCATTGAACATCTTAAAAACTATATTAAGTCATGTCTTGGGAAAGTATCTTTCCTCTTTCTGAGGAGAAAGATTATAAGGACTTCTATCCTTAGCAAATCTTATCTCTATTTTATGTTGAAAATTTAGCTATTACACTGTAGGAGAGGTAAAGAGACAATTATTTAAAATTTTAAAATGTCTTAACTGAACACAAATAATTTATTTTAATCTTGAATAATTTACCTCTAAGCTGGCTCAAATAATATCTACTATTACTTAAAACCTATGAAAAAAATTGCTTTTATTTGCACCCTATGACATACACACATTCTGTACATGCTGATTCATATAATCCTTCTGAGAACCCCTCAAGATAAACATTAGTGAACTTATTTGAGGATTCCAGACTTAGAGAATGTCATGTGTTTTATAGAAGAATGAATTTGAACTCTGACTTTTTTACTCTAAAATTAGTAGTATTTCCACAATATCCAGTGAAAATTAAAGATTCTTCACAGAAGAAATGGTATTTTTAATAAAAACATTCAAGGATGTGTTATATTTTTCTTTAATGACCAAGTTCAATATTAAGTCCACTCTCTAAAATTCTGTCACTACAAATCCCATTTTTAAGTTTATTGGCCAATATCACCTAATCCTCTTAACTATCACTGTGGATTTCCAGGGATTTCTACCCAAGCAAAATTAAATAGCACAACATGGCATGTCAACAAGACCTTTCTTCACTCTCCTTCACCAGAGAATATACTTAGAACACAAGTTGGTTTCAATTTAAAAGAAAAAAAGTTTCATTCTCACATGGAGTAGATCTATGTCAGGTCAACCAATAGTATTCTAAATTTCTCCTCAGTTGCTGGTTAGCAAACAGCTTTATGGATTGCACTGAAATAATCTCTGAGTATACAGAAAGTTATAAAAATATATTTTATCAGCCAATAATGAAACTTGCATATTTTTCACTATTTTTATTACTCACACGCCTTTGTCTTTCTAGTCATGCAAAAATTCAGAAGGTGAATAAATGTATAACCAGTTGTCAAATATATACATAATACAGACACAAACACATACTAAAAACCAATGTATGGGACATTGGTCCCATAAAACATATTAGGACCGGCTGGGCGCAGTAGTGCGTGCCTATAATCCCAGTAGCTCCAGAGGAAGAAGCAGGAGGATCTCCATTTCAAAGCCAGCTTCAGAAATTTTTTGAGGAGATAAGCAATTCAGTGAAATCCTGTCTCTAATAAAAATACAAAATAGGGCTAGGGATGTGGGTCAGTGGTCAAGTGCCCCTGAGTTCAATTCCTGGTACCCACTGCCCCCGGGGGAAAAAAAAAAAGAATTAGAACCAATTGTCCTAGTGTGTGTGTGTGTGTGTGTGTGTGTGTGTGTGTGTGTGTGTGTGTATTTTCTAATCTTCTGACTAGAAAAAAACTTTTCTAAGAAATTTTTTTTTCCTTCTATGGATTCACACATTATAGTATTTGTATATTTGACATCTGATAGAGAAAATATAAAATTACCAAAATGCACAATAGGTTAATTGAAATTTAAAAATAAATTTAGATTTTTTTAAACACAAAAATATTTACTCCACTTGAAAATTTAATTCCTCACATACGTGCAAGTCTACATTGTTTCAGTCCACAGGCTATGATGCTTGAAGCTCAATTAAACTCAAGGACTTTATGCAGTGTAATTTCCCATGGATTTGAGTTTAGTATATTTAAGTTCGGAAATAATAATGCCAGACAAGAGTACTTTGTGAATATAGTTTAGGAATATATATGCATATATAATTTAGGATTGATATAAATTGTAAAAGTTAATCAAGAAGATTGTACATATAGTTAAACAAAGAAGCATATTTGGAGTTTGAAAAGAATCTTTAAGACATTTTCTTAATATTTATAGGAAAAAAGAAACACTGTTTCATTGTTTCTGAATTATTTAAAATAGTCAAAATCACAAACATATTCCCTAAATTGTTTTTGTACTTGTTCACTAATCTTAAAAGTAAGTAATTTGGAATAAGAATTTGAGAGGTTGGTTCAGCTTTAACTTTTCCATCTTACTTACAAATTTGTCAATTTAAAAGGTTCTTAAAGCAATAGAATTTCTTCATTTGGAGTAATTCTTTTGAATATGGAACATTCAAACCACTAATTTGCATATAGAAAAGCATTTCAATTTGCAGTTTGTAAATCTTGCTGAACTCTGCACTGTAAAAATGTTCTCATCCTCACAATTTTCTTCCCTTCAAATTAAAAAAAAAGTTGCTATTTTCTTTTCTACACTTTAGATATTTGCTTTGATAGTCAATAGGCATTTTATATTTTTGAGTGCTTAAATAAAAAATATAACAAGAGAATTTCCCATTAGGTTAAATTTTTTCCTTTTCTCATTAGGTAGATTTTTTTCCTGAGATAGTGAACAAACTAAGCTATAAAATGGTGTTCTAGTTAAAACTAAGCATTTTGGGGTCTGTATATTTCCATGAAATCTCCCTTTTTTCATTATTAAAGTAAATAAAACATGTAGGAGATTCACAATGTTTGCATCGTTGTTAAAAGGCATCACCCCATAATGGGTTGCCATATTTCATTTAAAATATAGTGCATCTATGCTGTGTAGTCAGAAGAATCTGAAACATAAACATTCTGATTGTATTCTGTCTGTGCCCCCATTTCATGATTTATATCATTAAGACACAGGCTTCCTATGGTATTTAAATAAATAGATAAGCAAGTGGGTAGGAAAGAAGTAGAAGAAGGATGAAGGATTGCAGAGAAGAAAGGGAGGAAAGAGGGTAACCACTATTTGAATTCAGTCTCAATATTGTATAGATAACATGTAATGATAAGTTAATCAATTACATAGTAGATTATAGATTATTTCCTAATACTAGATAATTCCTGGACAGTATTTTTAGTTTTGGATTTTAGTGTAATGGTATGTATCAACTGATCCTTTTCTTTTCTAGTGCCTGTACAGTTATCTTATAAGGAGAAGTACAATAATTAAATAATCACTATTATGAGTAATATTAGAGTTTGTAGTTCTAGTGGCAACAGGAAGATTAGATGCATATCATACATGATTTACTCTACATGGGTCTACCTCTAATTCTTGTAAGTGATCTCAGCAAATCATCAGTTATGACCCCTAGTTCAGAAGCACAATATCATCTTTGGCTACAAAAATTGTATATTGTCTACCAAAAGAAGAAAATATTATTATTATTAATGTTTTACCTCTCCCCATTCGTATGAGCCAATATTGCCCCAGGTTGTTCCTCCCCATGAGCAGAATACAATAGTGCGGTCTGGTCTCCATCCTTTCTTAACCCTTAACATCAATGCTCGGATAAATGCTGTGATGATTGCAGTACTACTAGCCCATTCTTGTCCATTATAACTGTATCCAGAGTAATGGTGACTGCCAACTATAATATATCGGTCTGGAAACAGAAGGAAATGAGCCATTAAAACAGAATATAAACTTTAACAATAAATTTAATGACATTTACATAATCCTATTGCATAAGTAAGCAACAATTAAACAAAATTGTTCTAATAATTGAGACTACTTTAACACTTTTCACCCACTGTTTTGATTCACACATCTGTGTATATCAAAGCAGAGGCAGCTGTTAAACCCAATTATGAATCTGAAGCTTAGATCCATATAACTGTCCTTTGCAACATGAATATTAATTAATGAAGTATACAAATATGCCACAATGAAATCTTTATCTAACATTTTTCCAGAATCCTAGTGGGAAGTGTCCTGTAAACAATGTGTTCATGCTCAGTAAATATTAAAGAACTATTAATACATCTGAGGAAGCAGTTAGTCAGTAGCTGTAAATATTAAAAATGTGGTAGTCATGTGTGGACTTTGTAATAAATGAAGTGTTTAGGCAATTAATTACAGCTTATAGTTTTAGATAGACCTTCAGATAATGGCCTTCTCCATTATCTGAAGAAAAAAATGAAATTCACCAATGTCCATTTTATATGATCATTGAGATTCATTAGACACACTGTTACAAATGTTTCCATGACAGATAAATATTGCCCTGTTCAAAGCACATTGACAACTATTGTCACCTATCTTATTGTACTGCAGTAGGCTAAAAAAATGTTATTGAATGTTATTGATAAAAATAACATAACTCAATTTATTTGATAAAAGTAATCTTTTACATCTTTGTTAAAAGTTTTTCATTATCATTTCATTATGACATCTTTCATATCTTAATAATGAAGTATGTAGACTCTTCTTGGGTTGAGATCCAGGGTTTGCAACTCACTAATTGTATGATGTTAGAAAGTTTACTTAAACTTTCTATGCCTTAGTTTCTTCAACTCTAATATGGAATACAAGTAATGCATCCAAAATTCAGTTATATTGAGTTTTAAGTGAGTTACTCTATAAGGCACTTTGAACAGTGCCTGACACAAAGTAGGTCCTATACCTGTGTGGAATAAATGGATCAGGTATTGACTTCATGACAACAACAACAAAAAATGCTGTAACAAAATGTCATCTCATGAAACTTTTCTGATTTTCCACACTGATTTTGGAACAAGCAATGGGCTTGATCTGTCACCATTTTATTAATACTTAATTACTGGTATACATAGGGGGCCTGCAAATATTGAAAAGTTGAATATTTATGGATTCATCTCCCAAATATGAAAGAAAATTCTGCATTAGCTGTCTAGATTCCAAATCAAACATATCAAAAACTTAATATTAATTTATAATTATTCGTAATTTTCAATCACTAAGAAAATCATGTGAATCAGTAACCAGTATTTTTGGATAGAATTAAAACTAAACAAAAAATTAGTTTTGTTAATATACACTGAAGAATCCTAATGGAAAAAAAATTCAAATAATTTTTGGTAGATTGAATTTTCTTTATCCTGAAGTTAGTATAATTTTGTTCAACTGAGTTTTCCAACAACAAATTGCAAATACAGCAATGATAATGAATATTCTAGTGCTTCCCTTAGAGTTTCTTATGATGGAAATTTGTTGAAATGGTTGAAATAAAGTAGCAACAATTTTCAAATTCATTTTTATCTTGTGTTTAAAGATATCATCACCAGAGCTACAATATTGCTAATACAAGGAAATCAGAGAGAATACATACATTTTTATGAACTTTTTCAGAGTTGACTGGCAAGAAACTGGGAGAATATAAAACTTGATCTCACAATTCTTTGGGTTAGCAATTAGGTTAATTTGATTAATGCTATGGAGAAGGATAATTCTCCAAGGAAAACTCAGTAAATGTCCTTAACCACATTGTTATAGTTTGGATATGAGTTGTCTCCCACAAAATCTCCTGTTAATGTGGGAATGTTAAAACATGAAATGATTGGAATGTGTGAGCTCTACCCTAGTCTATACTAGTTTGAATGGACTGATCAGGTGGTACCTGTAGGCAGGTGGACTTTCCTGGAGGAAGTAGGTTACTGGAGGCATGCCCTGGAAGAGCTGGCTTTTCCCTACAGCCCCTTCTCCCAAGTGCTGTCTGTCTCTGTGGCTGTCACTGTATCTGTCTCTATCTCTCGCTCTCTCTGCTTCCTGACCCTCGCATGAGCTGAAAGGGTTTCCTCTACTTAGCCTTTCCCCCATGATGTACTGCCTCACCTAGAACCCAAAACAATGTATGGAGCCAGCTGTCTATGGACTGAGACCTCTGAAATTGTGCTCCAAATAAACTTCCTCCTCTAAGTTGTTCTTGTGAGATACTTTGGTAACAGCAATGAAAAGACTAACTAAAACACCCATCAAGAGAAGTGGCCCAAGTTTAACAACACACTGTTGTACTCTATACTGTATAACAGGCTAATTAAGACAGTAATATGTGATTCAGCTTTATGATATATTTGATAGTGTTGATATTATTCTCTCTATATACATATCATTAGTTTTACTTTTGTAAGTCTATGTAATGTCATCTGAAACACCCAATGGCAGCCCAGGTGGTCATTTACATAAACACCCTCAAAACCTAAAACTGTGCAAACACTAGGAAAAAATGTCAGCAGAGCAAGGATCAGGGGTGAACATCAATTAACAATGAAAAATTACATTTGAAGATAAAAGCTTTTGTGTGTAAAAAAAAGCATCATTAAAAACTAAAATGTTTTTAATGTTTTTTTCTTGTTAAAAATAAAAATTTAAATGTTGTTATATAGTGAGGAAAATATAAAACAGAGAAGAAAATATTTGCTTTTGCATGACATGTCAGTTTAACAAATCTAAACTCATTCTTGGTTCACTCCCCTCCCCTGGTACCCACAAACTCCCTATTGAGGTTTACTTTAGAAGATATATAATAGGAAAGAGAATAAAGAGAGACTTCTTAGTTTGATAATGATTCACAGTGTAATATAAGTTTAAGATATTTAACTGTGTTATTAAATTACTATAGAATATTTCCTGTTAAATTTCATATCAATTTTTGATTTTAAATATTTAATTCTACTTACCTGGAGAGGCCATGCCCTTTAAATATCCAATAACATTAGTGACTGTTTTGAATTTTGTGACTGTTTGAATTTGCATGCTGACAATTCTTATTTCTGAAAAAAAGTTAAAAAAGATGTTTTTTGTCTATATTATTCTGATATTTTTCTTAAAAGATTAACATTTATCTATCTAAAACTATCAGGAAAAGAATTAGAAATACTTGAAATTTTCAGATAAGCAAAATTATACTTTTTTGCAAAATATTTATTGACTACCTTAGTGGAAAGTCTATTTCATGTGCTTGTTATACAATGATGACTAAGATAACAATTGCTGGCCTGGTAGAACCTCAGAGCCATAAATAGGCAACTCTAACCTCACATTCAGGGTTATAAGGTGGTTCAACATGAAAGCACACAGAAGA